AATGCTCCATGTGCCTTTGAGAAGAATGTATATTCTGCTGTGGGTGGAGGGTTCTATAGATGTGAGTGTATTAGGTCTACATTTTTAAATTGAAGAACAATTTACATGCAATATCCTATTATTTTCAGGTGTATATCGCTGATTCAATATTTTTATACATTATGAAATGATCCCCACAATGTCTAATTACCTCTATGGTTTATAATTTTATTCAAGTGTTCTATTTCCTTGTAATATTATGTCTTGCTGTTTTATCCAAGGTGATTCACATGGGTGATTTTATATGCATAGCCTGTATGGATATTGATAAAGATATATATTGCATTTTAGAATACAATGTAAAATTAGGAAAATAGGAATTAATGTTGAAACTCATTAGACCTTAGTTTTTATCTTTAAAAATGCTTCCTTTAAACAACTTATTAGTCATCTAAGGGCACAATACGGCTCTAAGATCATAAAGTTGGCTTTTAACTGAAGTTTTCTACCTTACCAAAAAAGTACCCTTTAAAGCAATGTTCTAACATCTAATGCCATTTACATAGTGTCTTCAGAGACACTGTCAGTAATGTTCTCTAGAGAACAGTGAGGAGTTTCCTGGATATAGTCAGTCCTTCCTCTGTTGCTGAGCAGTGAGATATTTATTTCTAGATGCTAGTATTGAGGGTTTTGTGGACTGGTCCAGCTCCTCCAGATGTAGAACTAGTTTGTAGGCCATAAAAACTCCCTAGGTAGGGCCAGCCTCCACTTGAAAAAGCCCTAAGTCCCAAGCTGCCAAGCAGCTCAAACCACCCACTCTGCCCTACTGCCCCACTTCCACTCACGGAACCTGGGCCCATGAGATGTTGGGATGCATTGAATTCTCCAGGCCACTGTCCTACCCATCGTCACCCCCAGGTACAGACAAGCCACGCTACCTGGGTCAAACACCCCAGATGCATGGATCCCAGCTCAGAGATTGTGATTTATTTTCATGTACAGCCAAACTGTTACGAATTTTCAAAACTTTTAGATCATTCTAATGTGCAACAAAGTTTGATAACTGCCACTATACACTCCCTGTAGCCAGTGTTCATCTCAACCTGATTTTGGCAAGTTAAGGTGTTGGGAAGGCAGACACAGATGGCAGTGGAGTTTTGTGAAGAACACTAGCTACTCCTGGATGCCAGGCCTCCTACAGGCAGTATTTCCAGGCTGTTTGATGATGGGAAGGTCTCCTGACTCCTCTAGTTCTGTTTCCTCATGTAGAAACTGATGCATGCAACATCACAGATCCTCTCCCACTCTCCAGTTCTAAGGCTCCTTGGAGGACTTTCACCTATGCTGAGTCTCTTCCTGTGAAGGCCAGGCCTCCCTGGCATGTTCTGCAGGTCACTAGAGTGCACTCTAGGGCAGGAAAGTCATGGGCTGGGGAAGGTTGGTTATGGTTATATGGCCTATAGAGAGGTCAGTAACAGAAAGACCACCAGATGGGCTCTGTGGCTTTGGGGGAAGCAGACTGAACTGTCTTGAGCAGTGACAGAGCCCCACACCCCTGGGCTGCCCCTAAGATGTGTGGGATCTTTATTTGAGAAGTGCCACTAAACATTTTCCTTCCTTTGGAGAATAACGTTTGTTCATATCAGTGTAAGTAAGTAATGTAGGAGTGGGTTAGAGCCTCTGTGCTGTGGCTGAAGGAGACAGTTGGGCATGGAGGTTGGGCCCCAGCTCTCTGGGCTCTTGCTTTGTCCAGATACTTGGGTTACCCCCATTCACTCCCGACCGAGCAATGAGGCCAAAGGGCAGTAGGAGCAGCCTAGCCAGTAACTCTCTGGGAACCCCTCCTCTGACATCATGGGCATGATTTCCTTCAAAGATCCTCAAAATTCAGGGCTCTTTTGATTTCTTTGGTCTTCACTGGTTTTCTTGCCAGAGTGGTCAGAAACGAAGTCAGCCTACCACAAGATTTTTTTTTTTTTTTGAGAGCTCTCATTTTATAGTGATTATATATTAATATATACTACATAATAAATATTCTCTGGAAATGAGAGTTCCCCCCAAAAGTGCATGATCTAACACACAAGTGTTCTGCAACAGTGCCTGGTGTGTGCTATTTCACAACTACCACAGCTGAGGGACCAAGCCCAAGAAGGATATGGCCCTGGTTGGGGGCCTAAGTGCATGGGGGTGCCCCTCTCTGTCCAGCTCTCCACCTCTACTTGCCAGGGGCTGAGCAGTGTTTAAACTCAAGAGTGGGGAAGCACTAGAGGGAAGGACCTGATAAGCAGAAGACAGCCTAGTTCTTGTGCACATCCTTTTCCTCTTAGAAGCATACGACAGGTGGTTTTGACATAAGTTGTTCTATAACATGCTTTTTTCACCTGAGGGTTTGAAGTATTTTATTCTTTTTTTTTCAAAATTTTTAACATTTATTCATTTTTGAGAGAGATAGAGTGCGAGTGGGGGAGGGACAGAGAGAGAGAGAGAGAGAGACAGAATCTGAAGCAGGCTTGACTCGGAGCTGTCAGCACACAGCCTGACGCGGGGCTCGAACCCATGAGTGGTGAGATCATGACTTGAGCCGAAGTTGGACGCTTAACCGACTGAACCACCCAGGAACCCCTAGAAGTTTTTTATTCTTATAACGGCGGTGTATTCCACTGTGTGGTGTGGCATAATTATTTAACCCAAACCTACTGATGAACGTGTATGCCATTTCCAGCTCTCCACAGAGATGAATTTAATTGCCTGTGCATCTTTCTCCTCGTATGTGCTGCAAGAACTCATTTCTTATGATGAATCCTTATAAATAGAATTGCTAGATCCTGTCAAATTCTCTGAAGTTGAACCAATTTAGACAGCATTTCCGGTCACCTTCCCCAACAGTGGGCAAGACTAGAAGGATTTAAGATTGTCAGTTCTTCCTCCTGGTTAGGCTCGATGCATGAGCTGAAAGCTGGAACATGAAAGTTTTGCCTCAGAGAGCAGGGAATGTGGCCAGCGTGGCCTGGAGAATGCAGAATCCAGGATGACATAGTCAGATCCCTAATCTGAGAACCAAACTGAGTTAGCTCCCCAGCTCTCAACTTAGGGAACAGACAGTATGGTGTTGCTGCCGCAATACTGGTTCTGCCACCAGTGAGGGAAGGCTGGTCCTGCCCCTACGGCAAGTACTTCATACTTTAGGTTCTCAAATCTATGAAACAGGAATGGAAATACCTACATTGTAGGTCTGGGCAAAGGATTAAGTTACAACTCTATATACACAGATTAAAAAAACAACTCTTAATACTAAATCACTGAAGCTTATGTGTGATAACAGTGTGAAGTTCAGAAATAGGCAGAGCTGGGTAATATGTTTAGGAATACGCATCTTTGAAATTCAGTCTGGTTTTGGGTCTTTACCACATCTAGGCCCTCTTAATTCTCCACCATTGGTTTTACTGCTCCCTGCCCTTACATCTTCTGTATCTTTGTACCTTTATGCATCTTTGAAAGAGAAGCAAGGAGAAGGCTGACACACAGTTCAGGAAAAGGTCACCTGGGGAAGGGTCAAGCGGACGGGATTCAGGATGGTACTGGTCAGATTCTAGCTCCTTCCGAGTACAGTTACAGAGTTCCTTATTCTTTAAACTGCACAAGAGTGCAATGCCCACATGCCTATTTCATGGAAAAAAAAGTCCCATGAGGAACTTCAAGAGTGAAGAATTAGACAAACATTTCCAATGTGTTAAGAAATATTAGTTTTATTTAACCAGTTTTCACAGCTGAATATTTATTCTATAAAAACTTTACAGATTGTACAGTTTATTATATATAGTTCAAACTACTGAACGAAAAAGTAGGTCCCATAGATGCAAAAATACTGCACCCACCAATCCAAGGTAAAGGCAGATTTACACGCTGTACAGCTCTCCACGTGGCCAGGAGGTGGTCGGTTCTAAGTATAAACTTCCAAACTGTACAAAAATAAGGTTTTGATTTTATTTCATTCTTCATACATTCAATAGGATTGCAAGCTCAGAAGCCTAACTAATAATAGGCGTCTGTAATCAGGAATCAGTCCCCACTCCTGAAAGGAATGTGAATGTCTATTTACACAGGGCACTCTTGGACACCATACTCTACTCCGCATATTGCGTAGACGTGAAAGCAGAGACCTGGGACATTAAACATTGAATATAAGGTAGTTCTTTTTTTTTTTTTTTCAAAGGAGTTTCTGCATTTAATAGTGTGCCAAAAGAATTTTAACTTATTAAATAAAATATATTCTACGTGAACCTAAAAATTACACTTTATAAACATAAAAATACTTTTTTTTGGTGTAATACATCAATCATATCTGCAAATAGAAAACCAAAACTGTATATAAAGTAGTATTTCTCACCCAGCAACAAGAAGCACTTATGTAGTTATTTTTCAAAAGGGTCAGAGAAACTCTTTAAAATCCACTAAGACTAACTTATAACTTAGATATTCATACTTAAGCTATTCAGTGACTCACTAATACTGCAAAACAAGCTTTCTTCTGGAGAGAGAGTGGTTTCTTCATGTTAACTGGGTAAGAACTGGATACATTAAAAAGGAAAAATCAGTTGATTTCTGCACGAATCCTAAGTGTACTTCAGTTTGGGGGTATGTTCTTCAGCGGGTTTTTCATCAGAAGTACTTATCCTACAAGGTAAGTTTTACTTTTGATTCAGGACATTCCATCTCTGAGGTGTATGTACCTTTTTGGAGACAAAGGCACATCTCAGATCTTTCATCTCTATTTGGGGCAGGAGAGAGGAGGCTGGCTAATACCCTTTAGATTCTGTGTTCTAGAAAGAAAAAATAAGGGAACAAACATTATTCCAGACTTTTCTGCCACCTGAAACCAGCAAAACACGCTTTGTTTCTTTTTTATACAGTACTAGCTAAAGATAACAAAAATTAGAGCTTCGAAGAGCAGTCTAGAGCTCACCATTATACTTTTATACTTGTGTGTATATTAAGTATAAAATAATGACGTTTGGACAAAGGAGCTTTGTAGTTATTTATTTTAAAGTTACAGTACTTAAAAACTCCTTGATAATAAATAGCTTGGATGTTTCAAGTCCTACTTCCAAGCGTGAGCTAAGAGTGAACTTGTTTTAGGCTGTGAGGATGGAGGAGGGCAACCTGGCGCCGCAGATGTCCTGCTCGAGGATTCCAGTGTCACCAGCAGGCACCTGGCCATCAGAACTCATCGATCTTCCTCTGCAGGTACTTCAGCATGGAGTCCATCCCTTGAGCCGAGCCCCAGATTTTCTTCAGCACTTCACACTCCCTCTCGTTGGCCTGCTCCAATTCCATCTTCATGTTACAGCGCACAAGGGCTTTGGACTCTTCCAGCACCTGGACCGAACAACAGGCAGCGAGTCAGCAAGGGTGTGTGTCCACAGGCACTGGCTCTGTCCCCAAATTTACGGAGGCAGTTAGCAAACTTGAGCAATCACCTATCAAAAAGGCTACCAGACATTTTTTTACAACACACACTGGGCCTGAGGTACCTCTGAAGTCTATTCACACTAGGTATCAGGCAAATGCTCAAATTCAGGAGAGCTGTGCTACCCGCGCCCGGCCCCCTCCCCACCGACAGCAGCCTGGCCTGGCCCACGCTGCTGCTGCAGGCTGGTGCGGCCCAAGCTGGACACCAGTTCTCATGATGCTCCGCAAAAACTCTACAAATATCCGCTGAGGGGGTTTTCTAACCAAAGTTTAATCTTAATAGTGAGGGCTGTTCATGTCAGGGAGAGCCTAGATGGGAGTCACATCTGCTAATATTAAATAACGTTTTGCTTTATAATTTGCTAAATGCAATTGTTATAAGATTGAATATTATCCAAGATTGAATTTTTTTCCCTATGTTAGGCTCCATGCTCAATGTGGGCCTTGAACTCACAACCCTGAGATCAAGAGTCACATACTGTACTGACTGAGCCAGCTAGGTGCCCCTATCCAGCATATTTATTAAACAAAAGCTTACATCCACTGCGAACGGTTGGGAAGGAAACATGGTATAGGAAAGGGCTTTGGAGAGGGCACGTGGGTGGCTCAGTCAGTTGAGCATCGACTTTGGCTCAAGTCATGATCTCACAGTTCAGGAGTTTGAGCCCCACATAAGGCTCTGTGCTGTCAGGGCAGAGCCCGCATTAGCTCCTCTGTATCCCTATCTCTCTGCCCCTCCCCTACTTGTTCTCTCTCAAAACAAAACATTAAAAAAAAAAAAAAAAAAAAAGGAAAGGGCTTCAGAGACAGGAAAGATCCATATGAATGGTTTCTGTAAGGTTTCATAGGACACTGTGACGTAAGTCCCTGACTGATGCTGACTGCTTCTGTTCTTAGGCATCTGCGACGGGGAGGAGGCAGGCAAGTGGGTCTGGAGCAGTGGCACCAATTATAGTTCCGCCAGCATTTCGCGTGCAGGGGGTCATGCCTGGGGCACGTGTGGGACTCAGGAGACACCATTACGTGTGTGAGCTCTCTGGAGGGAAAAGTCATGATAAAAAAAAAGAAGTACATATGTAAGAGAACGAGTTCCACGTACAACTGGATTACAGGAGGCAAGCTCCTTGATGCGAACCATGACTTCTTGGGTGAAGGTCCCAGGCCAGAACACCTGGGAGACCAGGCCTTTGCCGCACGCCTCCTGCGCCGTCAGCTTCCGTCCACTGAGCAACATTTCATTTGCCTGGAATGAAGAGGAGTTGAGACTCATGAGATGTGAGAGGGAGGCAGGCAGAGAAGACCCAACCTAAAAGTTCGTCTAAAAGAATTTACACCGAGGGGCGCCTGGGTGGCTTAGTCGGTTAAGCGTCCGACTTTCGCTTGGGTCATGATCTCGCGGTTCGTGGGTTTGAGCCCCACGTCGGGCCCTGTGCTGACTGCCAGCTCAGAGCCTGGAGCCTGTTTCAGGGTCTGTGTCTCCCTCTCTCTCTGACCCTCCCCTGCTCACGCTGTCTCTTTCTCCTAGAAATAAATAAAAAAAAAATAAAAAATAAAAAATAAAAGAATTTACACCGAGGGTGGGCATCTGAATGGGTGTGGGCCCTGGAGGGGACTCACTGCGCCCTCCGGGGTTCCATTTGCAGCCTGTGCGCAGAGAATAAACCCGACAAGGCACAATCCACTATGCAGCGGAGAAATCACATACTGACTGGTAATTCACACACATACACACAAGTAAAAGGCTTCTTTTATGACGTAATACAGAATCACGTGGGCACAACCAAGAAATCTCACTTAGAGAAGGTCTATTTGTTGGTAACTGAAGTTACTGGCATGTGTCCCTCCCACTGTTTCCTCCTTCCCAGTGGCAGCCATTCCCACACGTGAAGTCACTTAATACAGTGTCCTGGGAAATGGAGGCATAAACAAAGTTAGGTGATGTGCTGGGTCAGGGATCTACCCCAGTCACAGAATCACTACCCAGTATTTGCTACATATGTGAAAGGCCAATGGTGGCTTCTTCTCCACATACACAGTGTTCCACGTGCAGTGTGTCTCTTGGAGTAAAACTCAGAAGGCCACATTTTACCACTTGGACATTAAAGTAAGAAACTATCCAGGACCTGAATGCATCCAAAATGCTGTAGTCTGCTTAGGAGGGCCTGACTATCATTACTTCCCCTGACTTGATGGAGGGAATTAACATTTGTATTTGTTAAGAGGAAAAAAAAAGTATATTTGTATATGTGGGTGTATGTGTATATATGAAATTGATTTTAACTTTGTCCTGGATTCTGTATCACTTTCAAGGTCTCAACACCATGTGCACAGATTTTTATCCCAAATGACAGGCTCAGAGATATCAAAATAGGGAGAAAACCTGACGAAGAAAGTTCACACTATTCTGATGTGACAACTTCCTGTCTGCAGTTGATCTTGCACTGCTAACCTTCCCGAAGACTGATGGTCACGATGAAGACATGACCATAATCTACTGGGACTCAGGTAAAGCACCCTCTTGGGAGGTTACCTTCCTTTCCCAAAAGAGGTAAAATACTGTTATGAAAAGGACTTAAAGTTATTTAAGTGTTCCTCCAGGTCATCAGTACCTCTATGCCTCTTGTAAATGCATTGAGATGTTTACTGCATGTGAAATGCACAGCGTGGAGGGCACACAAATAAGAGTTGGCAAAGCTACTGTCTGGTTGACTCACTGCCCTTTCCACAAAGGCAGAGAACAGAAAACAGGGTGGAGAACAGGGTCCCCACAAGGACTACAACGGATCCAAGGCAGACCTGTTACTTGTGCGGAGTCTTAGACAAAGTCATGAATGTCTGAAGAGTTTGGGGATGTTCTAGAAAACCCCTGTACTGAGCACCTCTTCTCAGTGAAAAGAAGGTCTAAAAGAAACAATGCATTTAGAAACCCGAGTTAACCTTACTGTCAGCTGTTAAGATAGTTCTTCTGAAGACAGAGCCAAATGCACTGAGAAAGGGCGACAGGAGTGCCGATGGAATGGCTTGGTGGGAAGTGATTTGTGGTTTTCCTCGTTTGTGCTTTTACTCTCAACACACAGTGAAGATAACACCACGACTATATCACTTAAGTGAAGTGTGAAATACGTCTTCAAGACCAGGTTGAACCACAGGGTCTTAGCTCACCTAGTGGATGTGAATGTATGCCTGTCAAAAGTGGGGAAGTGCGTGGGGAAGAGCAAGCCCACTGCCCATCCTGCCACTTCTCGTAATATTACACTTTACCCCCTGGAGTGATATCCCTATTTCCTCTGTTGCTGCAGGTCTGTGCCAGCCAGCTGAGCCACCAGAACAGTCCCCTGCCACTCGGTGAGCTGTCATTGCCACCGTTTCCTCTTTTCAGAGCCAGGCTGACTCCATGGCTGCTGTCCCTGGAAAGTCTATCCCTACTTAGTCTTCTCAATTTCAGATGGCTGGAGGTGCAGGACAACAGAGGGCATTTGACTTTTCCCAAGAGCATGGATGTCACACTGACTCGAGGTTGTTAATGTTCATGTAAGCACAGCAGTCAGTTGGTTTAAATTACAGTCAATGAACACCGTAAGATTAAATACACTCAATGTGAAGGAGCATGTTCTCATTGTTCTCAGATGCTCAGTTTCCCATAGTTTTAACATGAGAGGTTTCTCACTTCTACCCAAGACAAAGATTTGCAAGGTCACTGGAAATTTCTCGGCTGCCATTTTGTTCCAAGATGGCCAATTGTTTTTTAAAAAGTTATAGTATAAGGGCACCTGGCTGGCTGAGTTGGTAGAGCACGCTGACTCTTGATCTCAGGGTTGTGAGTTTGAGTTCCATGTTGGGTGTAGAGATAACTCAAAATCTTTATAAAAAAGTTATAGTTTAACTGGAGAAAAGTGAAATAAGGACCCCTTTTCTTTCAGCCAAAAAACCTCATTAAGAGGTGTGGTGAGAAAACTCGACTGGCTGGGGTGGGAGGGGTTGGGGAGCTGTGAGCTTCAAGGAGGCGGCAGCTCTGCCCCTCACTCCCCTAGGTCAGAGTCTAAACTCCCCAGAGCAGCAGCCTCCCTGGTAAACTCGGGGTGAGGAAGTTAGCCATTCACTGGGCATTTTTCCAGCACTGCCTCCTCAGGAGTGAGAGCTGCCAGCTTTATCACCAGCTCTGTGTCCTCCTCAGTGAGGGTCTGAGGGGTGTCACTCACAGCACCCAAGCCACAGGACTGATGGGTACCTGGCACCAGGCAGGCATGTTTCCTGGGGACAGGGCGGGTTAAGCTGTGGAAGAATACAGTCCTCAGCTAATCTCAGCACAGCTTGTGACTGCAGCTTAGCCCCACAGATGTCAGTCCGTGCCTACAGGAAAGGACAGCTCTCACAGCTTGCTTTGGCTGCATGCTCTTTTCATCCGGAGAACATGATCCTTTCTGGCTTATCCTGTGTGCAGAGTTTTGCACCATACCCTGTGCAAAAAACCAAACCTGTTGTAGCCTTGCCTCAGGCTGCTGGAAGCTCGCACACACCAAAAGCTCAAGAAAGGGACTTGGCATCTAGGTGGTTACCTTCTTTCTTCCTTTCTCCTTTCCTTTCCCCTTCCCTCCCTCCTTTCTATCTTTCTTTCTTATATACAGAGGGAGCATGAGCAGTAGAGGGAGAGAGAGAAAGACTCCAAACAGGCTCCATGCCCAGTGCAGAGCCCAATGAACCGTGAGACTGTGACCTGTGGTGCAATCAAAGCTTGGACACTTAACCAACTGAACCACCCAGGTGCCCCTGGGTGGTCACTTTCAATGAGAGCCATCACAGCCTGACTCACCCCAGCAGCATTTACTACTTTCTGGAAAGAGGTTTTAGTCAAATGTTCTGCACTTTTTGAACAGATCTTAAACTCTGCCCTTGCTTCACAGGCAGGTTTCTCAGCCTGGGCACTGAAGACATTCAGGGCAGACAGCTCTGTGGGGAGGAGGCTTTCCTGTGATTTGCGGGACACTGAGCAGCACCCAGCCCTCCACCTTAGTAGCACTGCCTTAGCTGTGACAATCAAGTCTCTAGACATTGTGGCATGTTCCCCAAGGTGGGTGGGGGGGGGGATATGAGGCATACCTTCTGGGCCGAGAACCACTGTGCATGTGGCACCAGTAGATCACAAGTAAAAAGTGATGCATTCAAGACCTGTCCAGGGAGCAGAAATGCCCTGACCAAGAGCAAGCATTCATTTTGTCAGGTTCCCCTGCTCTGTGTGGCTCTGCAAGATGGTATTGCTTCCCTTAAGTCCTGCCCTCTCTCCTCTCCTGGCCATGAGGCCTGTAACTTGCTTCCTCCCTCAGAGGAGCTGCAAGAAGACACATGGAGCTGAATCCTAAGGGTCCTGGACTTAGAGCCAGAACACAGAGCGGGACACGGGTCTTACTGATTTGGGAGCTCTCCCGAGATACAAGATTCAACGCCCTGGCAAGTGCCCCAGGAAACGGTGTGACCTTGCTCCTGGGATGGCTCTCAGAAGTGTGGAGGAAGTGGTGGCCCAGGCTAAGGGCAGCTGAGATGTCGAAGCGCCATGGCTATTGGACACGGTGGGACAAGATGGCTCAAGGAGCCTGCGGCACATACCAGAGATGTGGTCACAGTGCAGGCCCCTGGGGCTCGAGAGTGCAGCTGTGCTGGTCACAGAAGAGAAGGATGCTTTTTTTTTTTTTTTAAACAAAACAATTCTAGAGTGTTTACTGAATGCTGGCTGAGGCAGACCCAGCCCTGGGACACCAAATAACCATATATCAGGAAGGTCCATCGGGAACTGAGTTCCCTCAGGCCCACTAGGTGTAAGGCTAGCCATAAGGCACACACCTGGGACCAGGCACAAACACCAGAGGGCACAGGAGAGCCAAGACCCCCATGTCACCTGCCACCAGTGCCTGCCTCAGCTCACACCTACAGCCATATGGGGGACTCCCCACGAGCAAGCATGGTTTGTGGGTGGGCTGGCCAAGTGTACGGGTGTGCAAACTGAAACGGACAGCAAGTCCACCAACACCTCACCCAGACATAGCTGGCCAAGATAATGATGAAGGAAAACACTGACAAATAGGAGATGTGCCTGTCAACCACCTGGTGTCGAAGGAGAGGTGGATCAAGGTTAGAACACACAGTGACTGAGGGGGGTAGCCAGTGGCCTGGCTGGCTGGCTGGTCAGGGGCCTGGAAGAATGGGGACAAGGGGCTCTGGCATGTGGATGAATAGGGAGAGGTGCACTGGCTGTGTCACGTCAGTGTCCAGCAGAGAACACCCATTGCAGGGAGGAAGCATACAGCTCTGTGAGACCAGTCTTGGCATGACAGACTGTGCATGGAGTGTTTGTGGGGGCAGAGGTGGAGCTCAAGGGCACGGGGTCTGATGTATCGAGGTGATTTGGTTGCTGCTGCTGAACAGCTGGCCTCCAGCAAGACACCGATGCTACTTGGTGGCATGCTGACTGCTGACACAGGAATACATGCTTACTCTGATCTGGGTCTGCTTTCCTGCCCGAGGTCCTCATGAGCCCTGCTCTCTGAGGCGCATAAAGTGCCTGGTCTACCATGGGGTGTGCCAGCCAGAACTCCCTCCTAGCAAAGAGGGTGCAGGAGCAGGCCCATGACCATGGGGTCCTCTGGCCATGTCATGTTTGTCACCTCCAGAAGCTGCCGCTGATGGGCGGCTCACACCACGGGATGGTGTGAGGTACAGGCAGAGTACCAGCTTGAAGGTGTGTCTTTGAAGATGGGCACCTTCCTCTGAGTTAGTGTCCATAGTGCCTCAAAGAGCTTGGCACGGTGCCAGGTCCCCAAGAGGAAGAATCCCTGGGCTGGGTAACAAAGGAAGCAGGTGCGTCTGCCTTTCCCCACCAATGATCTGAGAGCCACTGTGCCTCTGGCCCTCGAAACTGGACTCTGCTGGATATGGAAGGGGCACGCCTAGCCAGTGGCCACAGCAAGGGTCCCAATGAACTTTAGGGTATGACTGCTACCTGGGCACCTGGTGCCTGCTGGGAGCCCCTAGGTCCTCCCCCACCCAGCCACAGCCACAGCCACGAATGTGCAAGTGCAGCAACTTGGGCCTCACAGGGGTGGAGGACCCATGTCCCACCACCAGCGTGGCCACCGAGGCCTGTGAAAGTGGCAGCTGTGGGTGGTTTGGGACTAGAACAGGAAAGGAGATGAAAAGGATGGGGGTGGGCTCTGAGACCAGATGTGGCAGTGAGGGCCGTGTGGGTCCCACTAAGCCTCTTCTTCTTTCCTTTAAGCTTTCTGCTTGGGGAATAGGTTTAGACTTCTGGGAAGATTATATAGCTGCGTACAGAGTTCCTGAAAACCCCTCAATCAGCTCTAATATTAACATCTTATATGACCTCTTACAATGATCAAAAACAGAAAATTACCATCAACATGGTACTATGAACCGAACTACGAAGTCTCAGCAAAGTTTGCTGGTATTCCCATGAAAGTCCTTCCTCTGACCCAGAACTGTGTCCAAGATCTCACGCTGCACAGAGCAGTCAGGCCCCTCTGTCCCCTCCAGTGTGGGGCAGCGCCTTGGTGTTCTGGTGAGTTCTCTCAGCACACGGCACTTTGGGGGGACCCTGCTGGGCACCAGTGAACTGGCCACAGTCAGGCCCTGCCTGGTGCTTTCTCTGTATCGGACTCCCATCTGTCAGCACCCTGGTGGAGCGATGCCATGCCACTCTCGGTGAGCAGGTCAGTGCCACTCAGTGTCACTCAGGGTGCCTGTCAGGCTTCCCTACCGTAAAGTTACTGTTTTTCCCACCATAAACAAGGGGATACAAATATCCATTTTCTCATCATGCCTTTACCTCTAACTTTAACATCCAGGTGGGTTTTTTTTTTTATTTTTTTAAAATGTTTTTATTTATTTTTGAGAGACAGAGAGAGACAGCATAAGCAGGGGAGGATGAGAGAGAGAGGGAGACACAGAATCTGAAGCAGGTTCCAGGCTCTGAGGTGTCAGCACAGAGCCCAATGTGGGGCTCGAACCCATGAGCTGTGAGATCATGACCTGAGCCGAAGTTGGATGCCCAACCGACTGAGCCACCCAGGCACCCCATCATCCAGGTGGTTCTTGCCTGAAACAGTTTTCAATGGCTAATCCTTCTCCTCTGCAACTCCCCTGAGACAAGTGCCTCTCCCTCCACCCAAATGTGTATAAAGAGGTAGATCCCAAGGGACAAGGAGTGGACTGTGGTGGACACAGGGATGTGCTGCCAAGGTCTGTCCAAGGGAGGTCTTGTCCTAGCTGTTGGGAGTGCCGTGGGCCATCAGCTCCTTCAGGGACTCCCTCTGCTGCAGAGCCGCCCTGTCCATGCTCACAGCGTTCTTCCTGGGCAGCCCACACTCAGTGACGATGGACATAAAGGAACCAGCCATTTTGGCCCGCTGTGGGTCAACTAGGACAGGTCATACATGCCCCAGGACTCCCCATGGTGTTCCAAGCATCCCTCTGTCCAGCCCTCCAACCACTGCCATCCTGCCCACAGGTACGGACTACTATTTCTCCACCACACTAGGCTCCACCTCCATGGCTGCTGTGGAGATCCCAAACCGTGACACCACCTTGCGCCCCACTTCCAGGAATAAGAAATGCAATGCGTGTAGCTGCTTGAAGAATCAAAAGCTACAAACACAAACTCTTATTATGGATGAATTAAAAATTAAAAAAAAAAAAACACTTCACAATCATATGGGAAGACTTCTCTTATCCTAAACAGCTTTGCTCCTTTCATTTGCTTTCCCTTAAACATGCAGATTTTAGAGTGGCTCAGTCGGTTGAGCATCTGACCCTGGGTCAGGTCATGGTCTCACAGTTTGTGGGTTTGAGCCCTGTGTTGCGCTCTGTGCTGACAACTCGGAGCCTGGAGCCTGCTTCGGATTCTGTGTCTCCCTCTTTTCTCTGCCCCTCTCCCACTCATATTTTGTCTTTCTCTCCCTCTCCCTCTCTCAAAAGAAAACTTTAAAAAAAATTTTTTTAAGTGCAGATTTCAGGTTTTTGGGTTAAGAACCTTTCGACTGCACACTATTGTTTGGGTTACAAATTGGGTATTTACTAATAGTGGATATCAGTGTCAATTATGCAGAGAGAGAGATTCCTCACCAAATAAGGCCCTTCTCTAGGAAATGATGCAACACAGTGTCCATAAATGTTCTATGAACCAAAACATTAAAACCTCCTATGAGTTCATGAATTAAGAATATGAGTTAATGAACAGAATTGAACTATGAGTGTATTTGATGGAAAGTCTCCACAGAATGACACCCTGTATATATTGAGAAAAACAATAACCAAACTAGATTTCTTTAGGAAGTTTTCTAGAAAAATTTTTAAAAACAGAGGTACTCACAGATGCTCCTCCCATAATCTTGGGAAACATAACGGTGGAACAGCCATCTGGACTCTGTCCGAAGGTAGTATAGGGTGTTTGAAACCAAGCCTTTTCATTGGCCCAAACCACATCACAAAGAGGCAATATGGAGGCTCCTAGTCCAATGGCTGGGCCATTTACTGCTACAATAATAGGCTTCTTAAACTGAATGAAAGTATTCACGAAGTTTCTAAAATGAAGAATAAATGGGAAATTACTCACAACATTGTGTATTCAAGTCTACTGTTACAGAATTCAATATATCAAGATATAAACTCTGTGGAAATCAGTACAAGTTGACTGAGGCTCGTTGAAGGCCTTCTCCTAGAAGCAAGCCATAGACTTATATATAGAGTGTTGTAAAGGTTTCACAATACCCTCGACACTATGTGAGAGTGGCTGTTGTTACAGGACCTATGTGAAGATCATGGGTGAAGTTCAGCCAGAGGCTGCTCTTGGATTTGCAGCTGGCTCTAGGTCCAATCCATCTTCAACCTTTCTTCCCTTTAAGACATGAGGAGCCCAATAAACACTGTGGGCTTCAGATGACCAATCTAGAAGCTCTCCCAAAGAAAACCTGACATGGGGCACACCAAGACTATGCGGTGTTGAAAGAAGACTAGGGGGTTGGGGTTAGAACCTATGTGGTCTGAGTCTGGACTTGGTATGTGATTCCAGACAACTCACTGACTACTTGGAAATAAATATTTCCTGAGTTTACATAGAATTAGATGGAACGACTTGGTGTAGGGGCATAGAGATAAGAAACTTCCAGGCTGGTTTAAGACAGGAGACCCAAGGAAGAACATCAAGCACCACAGAGACATGCCTGCACACCTCTGTGTTCCCCTGTGGAGACTGCAATTACAGCAGGGTCTCAAAGGAGAGCAGAACTAGTGGTCGGGCAGCCTTCACAGAGGATGTGGATTTTGACAAAACTGAGCCAGTGCTACTTCTGGATCTGTTTTAGGATCAGACTGGAAAAGTAGGCAGCTCTTCAATTGAGGGTAGGCTGGTGCCGCACCATACTGGGAATGTGCATCTTCTTCCTACTGCTAGAATCTAATTTTACATTCAGAGGTCGCTGCTTGCTATGATTTCACATGCTAAAGAGAAGGGCAAATATGTACCAACATAAATGGAAGGTGATTCCTTTAGGGCTGTCAGAGTTCTAGATCAAAATTACAGAATTCTATACCTGACCCCCGTCTTCAGTACAAGAAAGAACAATTTGGTTGCTCTCCATGATTTGGTAACTTAAAAGGTAGAGCAAATCTATTCAGATTGTCTCTGAAAATGCTGACTTAGATGGTCTCCCATCTCCCCAGATATTGACACATGAGGTCATGTAGTTTTTGGAGGAGGGCAGGTGAGGGAGGTTTGGGACGTGCGTGTGAACAGGAGAGTGGATGCGGCAGAGTCTGGCGAGTCTGGCAGCTTGCACACTCAGCTCCAGGGACTGTTCTCGAAGGCACCCTGTAGCCAGTGCAGACCTCAGCCCAGCCCTAAGGCCCCTAAAGCTTGTGGGATCTTCACGTTGAGTGAGAATTGACCCATTCAAATGAATGAGCTGCTGTAAGACTTTCTAAATGAGAGCCTGAGGCATTGTTAGAAAGATCACACTGGGTTTTAATGATACAAAGAGAGCCAGACAACCTTTTAAATAGGTTGTTGGAATAATGTAGACAATTTACATGAAGCTACTTCACTTGGGCCACCTTTTGAGGATGTGGGGTCAATGACATGATGGAAATATGTCTTCTGTGCTTAGTTATTGATGACTCTCGAAAGGGTCTCCACAATGTAGAGCAGACATTTTCAAAACATGTCCCCGGGTGCCCTGGAGTGGCCTGGCTTTCATCTGCCTCATGTGAACAGGGGCCTAGTAGGAACTGTTCCAGTGCTAACATCTGGAAACCATGGATGGGATGGCAGAGTAACATGAAAGAAATGACCAATATTGCAACAAGAAAGTGACTACAGAGGAATGGTCCACGGAATCAATTTCTCGACATAGCCGCGTTCCTTCTCACGTTATATGTTTGTATAAAAGAAAAAAAATGCTTCTAAAATAGATATTGCAAAATCAAAATCTGGAGAAATTGTTTGGAACTGATCCCCCCCCCTCCCCCCCCGGCTCCCAATTATTTTTTATTTTTGCCTGGAATGACAACTTAATCTAAAACCGGTGGCTGCTTCTGGGAGGGGTATGAATTAACTGGCACACTCGAGTGAAGACCATCTTCTCCTTTCAGAGGACACAGATGACCATTCTGAGCTGTGAGCTCTGACGTGTCAGCAACGAGCAGGGTCCACAGAGAAATCTGTTTAGAACAACAACAAACTTCCTAGAAATGCTTTCCTGTTTAGTAGAAACTTCACAGAGCCACAAAGTCTTGGCCATGTGGGGCTGCACAGTAAGCCACACATCAAGCCAGAGACAGGAAGGCAGGGGCTGCCCAGGTACCAAGCTCTCAGGAGCCAGCATTCAAGGAGGGCCCCTCCGCTGCTTCTGAGGGGGGAGGAAAGCATGTATATTTTGGAACTTAATATCAAAACACATGAATCTTCAAAATGTGCTCAATGCTATATACTCAACTTAAATTTCAGCTTCTTGTGAATTATCTGTGAATTGAGCTATAAAGGTTGGGTATAGCAGGGAAGGAAAGAGATTGTATTTGTCATAAAATGAATTAAAAAAAACCTTATGATTAAACAAGAGCAAACTTCTACCCACTTTTTTGAAGAACATTTATTATTTCACAGATACCACCAAAAAAAGTCAGATAACCACCTAAGAACAATAGTCTAGGAATTGTTTGGGGAAAATGGAAAATGAAGCATTCAGGAAATCTCAAGTTTCAACAACAAGTTCATGGTCATTTTTCAAGGGAGCTCTCCCTTCACTGTGAATGTCTGGATAGGACTGAAATGGGGGGAGAGGTCAGGTTCTGGGGGAGGTTTGTTGGTCGGCTTTGTTGTCTCCCCACATTTCTGCCCCTCTCACTCTGGTGGAGGAAGATGCCTGCCTTCTGGGGCCAGGCAGCTCCTGGTCCTTCAGACACTAAGCAGCAGCTAGTAGTTCCCACAGACTCCAGAAGCCTAATGTTATTTTTTTTTTTAACAAATAGTTTATTGTTAAATTAGTTTCCATGTAACACTCAGTGCTCATCCCCACAAGTGTCCTCACCATGCCCATCCCCCCGCCCCCATCCATCAGTCCTCAGTTTTTGTCAGCATTCAAGAGTCTCTCATGGTTTGCCTCTCTCCCTTTCCCCCACCATTTCCGCCCTTCTTCTCCCCCTTGTTCCTCCGTCAAGTTCCTCCTAATCCTCCTATACGTGCAAACATATGATATTTGTCCTTCTCTGCCTGACTTATTTCGCTCAGCATAACACCCTCAAGGTCCATCCATGTTGCTACACATGGCCAGATTTCATTGTTTCTCATTGCCATGTAGTATTCCATGGTATAGATAAACCACATCTTCTTGATCCATTCATCTGTTGATGGACACTTAGGCTCTTTCCATGTTTTAGCTATTGTGGAGAGTGCTGCTATGAACATTGGGGTACATGTGCTCCTATGCCTCAGCATTTCTGTATCCCTTGGGTAAATTCCTAGCAGTGCTATTGCTGGGTCATAAGGGAGTTCTATTGTTAGTTTCCTGAGGAACCTCCACACTGTTTTCCAGAGGGGCTGTACCAGTTTACATTCCCACCAACAGTGTAGGAGGGTGCCCGTTTCTCCACATCCTCGCCAGCATCTAGAGTTCTCTGATTTGCTCATTTTAGCCACTCTGACTGGCGTGAGGTGGTATCTCAGTGTGGTTTTGATTTGTATTTCCCTGATGAGGAGGGATGCTGAGCATCGTTTCATGTGTCTGTTGGCCATCTGGATGTCCTCTTTGGAGAAGTGTCTGTTCATGTCTTCTGCCCATTTCTTCACTGGGTTGTTTGTTTTTCGGGCGTGTAGTTTGGTGAGTTCCTTATAGATTCTGGATATTAACCCTTTATCTGATATGTCATTTGCAACTATCTTTTCCCATTCCGTTGGTTGCCTATTAATTTTCTGGGTTGTTTCCTTGGCTGTGCAGAAGCTTTTAATCTTGATGAGGTCCCAACAGTTTATTTTTGCTCTTGATTCCCTTGCTTTTGGGGATGTGTCAAGTAAGAAGTTGCTGCGGTGGAGGTCAAGGAGGTTGTTTCCTGCTTTCTCCTCTAGGGTGTTGATAGTTTCCTGTCTCACGTTCAGGTCCTTTATCCATTTTGAGTTGATTTTTGTGCATGGTGTGAGAAAATGATCTAGTTTCATTCTTCTGCATGTTGCTGTCCAGTTCTCCCAACACCATCTGTTAAAAAGGCTGTCTTTTTTCCATTGGATATTCTTTCCTGCTTTGTCAAAGATCAGTTGGCTGTATACTTTTGGGTCCACTTCTGAGTTCTCAATTCTGTTCCATTGGTCTATGTGTCTGTTTTTGTGCCAATACCATACTGTCTTGAGGATGACAGCTTTGTAGTAGAGGCTGAAGTCTGGGATGGTGATACCTCCCGTTTTGGTTTTATTTTTCAGTATTACTTTGGCTATTCGGGGTCTTTTGTGGTTCCATACAAATTTTTGGATAGTTTGTTCTAGTTTTGAGAAGTATGCTGGTGCAATTTTGATTGGAATTGCATTGAATGTGTAGAGTGCTTTAGGTAGTAATGACATCTTAACTATATTTATTCTTCCTATCCATGAGCATGGAATGTTTTTCCATTTCTTTGTGTCTTCTTCAATTTCCTTCATAAGTTTTCTATAGTTTTCACCATACAGATCTCTTGTATCCTTGGTTAGGTTTATTCTGAGGTATTTTATGGTTTTTTGTGCAATTGTGAATGGGATCAGTTTCTTGATTTCTCTTTCTGTTGCTTCATTGTTGGTGTATAAAAATGCAACCGATTTCTGTACGTTGACTTTGTACCCTGCAACTTGGCTGAATTCTTGGATCAGTTCTAGTAGCAGAAGCCTAATGTTATAAACTGACTCACAATAATTGTTTTTATCACTAATGTGCTGAATATTTTTATTGCAATGGATCTGCAAACTGGTTATAACCGGCAGTCCTGAGAATGGAATTAGCTGTAGTAGATACCCGATGATCTGATGTTCAAACCTAATCTTTCCTTGTCCCATTTCTTATAGGGGAAACTTGCTATAGTGATGTACTTTGCCCCAAAGTTTTAAGGAATTCAAGACCAGACATACAGAAGTAACAAATATACAGCTTTATGTGTAAAGCCAATCTTATACATATAAAAATTAATTTAAATGCAAATGAGCAAGAGCAAAGGTTAAGTGAATCTGGTATAACTAATTATTTTTGGATCCTGCCAGAGTACATGAAGGAAAATTCACATTGACAAAAATATATTCATTTAAAGAAGAACCAAGTGGGTTTCCCTAAAGCAGGATTTGGCCTTTGTGTAGAAAAGGTTTTTGTCGGGGGAGGGGGAGGGCCTGGAGAAGAAATGGGAGTGGGCAACTGACAGAAACAAACACCTGAAGTGATCGAAAGATTCCACAAATGTGATCTCTTGATTCATCTTTCCTCTGCATTTTCTAATCCCAACAGTGCAAACCTCAGTCATGGGAGAAGTGGCCAGATTAGGGTTGAGACGCTTGAGATTTAGAAGTGGAGTTCATGGGGTGCCTGGGTGGCTCAGTTGGTTAAGCATCTGACTCTTGATCTCTGCTCAGGTCATGGTTATATGGTTCAAGAGTTTGAGCCCCGAGTTGGGCTCAATGCTCATAGTGTGGAGCCTGCTTGGAACTCTTTCTCTCCCTCTCTGTCCCTACCCCACTTATGTTTTTTTACTCTCTCTCTCAAAATAAATAAACTTAAAAAACAAAACAAAACAAAACAAAACAAAGAAGTGGAGCTCAGGGAGCATCTACAGGGAGAAATGAGCCAGAATGCAGAAGGCACTGGCTGACAAGTCTGATTTTCTTATTACAGCAGAGCTCCCCAAATCAGTATTATGTGTAAAGGCAGTGTGCGTTTACAGAGAATCTACAAAGTTACTGCCTGAGGCATAGTAGCTTGTATTTAAAAAATGAAAATTAAACCCCAGTAATTCATCCTGAAGGCTGGGATGGGTTCATCGTCAGGAAATCTACAAGTTGTCTTGGAAGCACTGACAGTCTGTCATGGAATTATGTGTATTGATCAAGCAGTTTAATTTGACACTGAGTAACATGATGGTCCTATCCAGGATACAAGTTTGAAATTATTTTGACCAGAGACAATACTTAATTAAAACAGATTGTAAAATTTCAAACTATTATTGGAAAAACAACTACCATGATAGCCTAAGAAATAGTAATGTTCAAAAAGGAGCCTCTTGTATGCATGCATGCATCTGTACACAGTGAGAAAACTGATCAATTTTGGAAATTATTAAAAATGTTATAAAAGGCCAAGTCAACATGCTGAAACCCTAATATATAGGGTTCCAGGGCTCCCCTGATGGGCCAATTAGGGCAGCACCCATCAGAGCCATCTTGGGAAGTCGGCCAGCTGCCCTGCCCCACCCCACACCCACCAAGACAGAAGAAAGCACTCCCACTGATCCCGACGTGCACCTCTAGGATGGTCTGGGGGACCAGGAAGCCCTGGGCCCCCAAGGTTGTGGCATAGGGTCTCAGCCACGAGGAGCCCAATAATCACCCAGAGAAGCTCAACTCAACCATGTATCTGCAGGTTTTAGGATCCAACCAAGTTTACTTTGCACATCTGTTCATCTAACTTCCCATCTACTTGTACATCATCAAGGCAAATGCATATGCAAAGGGTTCTTAGGGGTCATTCAGGATAGGTCACTTTAGTGAGGTGGGTAGGACAGTCCAATGGTCTTCTTGGTTGGTGACTGGGTTGGTGACTGGGTTTCATTCACTTTAAGATTAATTTCTAAATAAATAGATACATTTGATTACACTTCCCGTGGTTAGCATGAGAAGTGAGGGAAATGGAAACAGAATATGTACCTGGATATGCTTAACAGAATTAGGTGATCCTAGGGAAGCTTTTTTGTAATGTTAGGAGACAGTAGGGGAAAATTCCCAAATGGAAGAGATGGAAATATCTAAAGTCATACTGCTAAATGGAAAAAAAAAAAGTTGCAAAACAATACAGTATAATTCCATTTATTTAACAGAACTAAAAATAAATCTGTATTATCTATAATATGTATGGAATGCATATTTGACAGTGTTGACAGAAAGGCTGGGGAGACATAAATGAAGGTGGGTTCCTGGGGGAGGGGAGCATCTGAGAGAAAAGGAACTCTAACTTTTCACTCTATATGATCAAGTAGAGTGGGTAGCTGGAACTCAGGATGAACTTGAACAAGAATGTGTACTACTTGTACTAAAACAAACTTTTCATGTGATGTTATGGAACTAGCTTGTCTTAAAGGCTAGCTAACTTATTTCAAAGTCAAGCAAATGTTAAGTTATTATGTGAAAGAGAATGCATCTTTATTTAAAGGCTGAAGACAGAACATGCTCATAGTACAAATAATGGAAACTCTGGCTATATGCTATTGTATACGCTAATCATTAGAACATTCCCTGTGCACTCACTGGGTTTGAGCCAGCCTTGAAATCAGTTATTTGCTCAAGGCAAGCAGTAATTTATGCCAGGCCCACAGAAAAGACAGATGATTTAATTAATTTTGATACCAGTGTCTCTTAGTGGAGGGAGACACGCATGTTACTCACAAGGCTTGTTGGAGCCTGTTCTACCAGGGATTGGTACATGAGGAGCGAGACACTCAAACCAATCGTTAAAAAACACCACTTATGCATACCTGATAGCTTCCGCCATTTTAGTGCTTTCTCTTTTTCTGTCATCTGTTAAACGCCGTATAAAATAAATAAAGTCGAGACCGCAGCAGAAGACACTGCCCACCGCGCTGAGCAGCACCAGCTTGCTATCGTCGGCAGCAGCCGTGCTCAGGGCACTCTGGACTTCTTTCATTACCTGGAAGTCACCAGAAGTTAAAGTGGCTAAGAGTATTTCTGACACAGAATCCACTACTGGATAATCTGGACCTGGAGAAAGTACAGTATAAGGCTGATACTGTTCCCTGTATCTACCACAATTTAAAATAATTCACAACCTTCTTATTTCCTATAACCTGAGACTGGGAATGTTGGGGACAGAGAAACTTACATAACTAATTATGAACAGAGTATGATTAGAAAGACATGTAAATCGAAATTACCTTAATATTCTGATCACTGTGACTCTCAGTAAATGAGGCAAGTTACACAGGATATCCACTTGGCATTTCTACAGTTTGGACAGCAGGTGGCATATTCAACCAGTTGAAAGAAATTAGGGTTCCTTGCCCTTTTTTTTTTTTTAAACACCAGCCTACCACACTTGGGGCAGAAACTCCAGTAGTTTGGTGCTCACATATATTAAGCATAAGTCGTTTGAGATGGGCACAAAACCATTGAAAATGATCTCTATGAAACACGCGCAAATAACCAATGAAGGGACTCTGCGGTCTAAAAATATATTGGGGACCAGCCCTGAACCGGTTTGTCATGTGACCCTGGCCAGACTTATAAGCTTTGTGGAGTTTGGTTTTCTTGCCTGGAAAAAGCCTCATCTAGCTGGCTCACAAGTGGAAAACAAACAACTAAGAGGACATAAATTTCCAAAATACTGCATTTTAGATACTTTCGAGTTCGGTTTTGAACCTCTCTGCATGCAAGCAGCAGTTTCTCCCCTGGATCCTTGAAAGACAACTTTACCAGGTACTACAGACAACAGACGATGGGAACGAAGTTCCACCACAATGCTAAAGACTCACAGGAATGATGGCACTGGGGGCCCAGGGCCATTTTAATCTTGTCTGAACTAAGAGCCCTTCGAAGAGTCTGAAGACAAGCTAAAGATGAGCATGCGCACACAGAGTTTTGTATGCGAGGCTGGGGGGAGGGGGTGGCCTGGGAGGCCTGTGCCCCCTGGAGAAGGAGGCGGACACGCACAGGCACAGATGCACTCGACTTGTTGCGCCAAAGGCACAGTGTAGCCCCGGGGAAGACCACTCCACCTCACCTCTGCTTCCTACCTTCTGGAGGGGCTGCATGATGGCCCAGAAGGAGAGTTAGGAAGGGCACAAAGAGCACCGATGCCACCAAGCCCGGCCCGGGAAACAAGGGCGTGGAAAAACAAGAAGCACAAAGCAGCCCAAGGAACGTCTCTCACCTCTGGGTTTAGTGAGTTATTCTCTGATGATTTTGTTGACAACAAGATGTGGGTGAAGCCATCCTGCTTCCTGACGACAATATCTCTGTATCTGTAGGCACTTTCTGTTTGCCTCACACTGAAACGCAACCGCTTGTCAAAAGGCTGGTCTCTTCTGTCGTCAATAAATTTCCTTTTCCCGGCTGTCACTCCTGTAACAGATGTCTGTATGTTGGTTGTTCCATTGGCTGTTAGTGCGTCCATAAACGGAGATGTACCTGCCAAGAGTTTGAAATCACAGTGGTCTGTGATGTCCAGCTACTGACTCTCTCCCCCAGTGTTGTCTCTAAATTGGGCAAAAGTGCTCATTATGAACCCACGATTTAATGCACAAAGCAAGGCTGTTAAAAAAAATCTACTTTGAAAGGCATTTTTTCTCCTTCCAAGTCTGATAAGGAAATCACCCTCTTATCTTGCCTAAAAAATAAAGATGGAAAGGTACTTGCTGAAAAGAAGCTACAGAATTTGAGACTACTGAAGAATGGGATTAAAAGAGAATGGGGTCTCATGAAGAGTATGTCTTCCAGGCTTAAGGAGTTGGCACGAAAAAAGAAAGTATCTTATTATTCCAGCCAATGCCACCTGCCATTCTGTAGAAATTTCTTTTTTCTGAATGGAAGATGGAATTGTACACATACTGGAGGCAACCACCCACTTCTACTGGTCTACCAAGCATTGCTGTGGCCACCACTGCAGACCACCGCCCCCTTGTGGGGCACTTGAAACTCTCAGTTCTTTCTTCTGATGCCCTGGGAGGTGACTATCTGCCCACTGGTCCCAGTTCTACATTTTCAAATAGACTTCTAAGCAGAATTCCAAGACAATTCTCTTTCCTGCCACATAAACTGTTTTGCTATTTTTTCCTCCTGTGTCAGTTCCTCAACATTAACCTGGTTTCTGTGTCTTAAAGATATGGTCTCCTGAACCTAATATTTCTTATAACAAAGGAAAAGAGTTCCAGTTAATGCTTTCATAGAATTATCATGTTATGTCAGGGTAAGAATTCAAGTATTAAAGGTAAATAATGACCCATATGAATTTCCTGAATATTATCTCACCTGGTAAGGAATGTGTAGAGCTTTTTTTTTTGGGCGGGTGGGGCATGGAGAAAGGGGAAGAAATGTAGGAAAACTGGATCATCAAGGTTTACTAATAAAATTAGCATTGGAAGAAGTTCTCTGAGGAGAAGAACATGAATTATAGGTCAGAAATCCTTCCTCCACAATGAAAGAAAATAAGCCAGGACTATCAGAAAAGACTCATGAATGGACATTTAGAGAAGTCAAATAATCTCCCTTTGTAAAAACAACAGGGCTTTCGTTTCATTCAATTGGTTGAAATACTTTGGAGGTTTTTTTAAAAAAATAATTTTTTTGAAAATTTGGAAGAGGTTATAATACATGCACATAGTTCAAGAATCTACAGCTGTAGAGCGAAATAAGTCAGGCAGAGAAGGACAAATATCATATGTTTGCATGTATAGGAAGCTTAGGAGGAACTTGACGGAGGAACAAGGGGGAGAAGAAGGGCGGAAATGGTGGGGGAAAAGGAGAGAGGCAAACCATGAGAGACTCTTGAATGCTGACAAAAACTGAGGACTGATGGATGTGGGAGGGAGGGGGGATGGGCATGGTGGAGGGCACTTTGGGGATGAGCACTGAGTGTTATGTGGAAAATAATTTGACAATAAACTATTTGTTAAAAAAAAAAAAAGAATCTACAGCTGTAAAAACATATATGGTAAAAGGTCTCCTGCCACTCATGCTCTCCATTTGCCCAGGAACCCCTCCCCCTCACTCTGGTTAGCTACCGAGTTTGGCTTCCCAGTGTCCTTCCACTGTGTCTTGATATATACACAGGAAAATAAGAACATAAATATTTCCACTCTGCTTTATAAGTCACAACTGGTAGTTTAGTAGACAAATATCTTGCTTATTCACTTGACAGTATCTTAGAACTTGTCTTATCAGGTCATAGTTTTGTTCTTTTCTAAGGCTCCATAGCAGTCCACTGAATAGATGTTCTATAATCCATTTTTACCTATCTACACTGCAATAAACACAAATAATTCAGTGGTTGTTTGTTATTACAAACAATGCTGCAACACATAACCTTGGCCTCTGTCACTCCAATGCTGGTGAGGATCTCCAACTGAAAGATCATTTGATTAGCTATTGTTAGCAGCAGCACCAGGTGTTGCTGAATCCTTCTGAGGAAGCTAGTAAGGATCCTTTCTCTTTAACTTTCAATCTCTCTTCTATCAGAATCTTCCCCATCTGTGGTTTTTTTCTTCTTTTTTTTTTTTATGTTTTATTTCTGAGAGAGAGACAGTCAGACAGACAGACAGACAGACACAGCATGAACAGGGGAGGGTCAGAGAGAGAGGGAGATACAGAACCTGAAACAGGCTCCAGGCTCTGAGCTAGCTGTCAGCACAGAGGCCGACGCGGGGCTCAAACCCACAAACCATGAGATCATGACCTGAGCCAAAGTCGGACGCTTAACCGACTGAGCCACCAAGGTGCACCCCCCTCAATCTGTGTTTAAACACCTTCTTCAATCTCTTGTGCTCTCAGATACCCCTCTAATCTGCTCTTCTCAGCACTGCCCTCCCTCCTCACACCCATCACGGCCTCACTGGGTCTACACTTGCTGCCTCCATGTCTCCTCCATCCTCTAGACACTCCACTGCAGCTAGAGGCCACATGACCAGATAACTTCTGAGTAACAGGGAAATGGACCACAGATGACTGAACCATTAAGCCTGGGTGTGTAGATGGGGCACCCACAGGGGAGTCTGACGTAGCTGGGAGATGAGGACAGGTGAGAAATTTGGTTTTATCCACAGTTAATATTTGGGTGCAGATGTTCCGGAGTCCAGAAGCAGAGGCAGGAAAAGTCAGAGTGGAGATGAGTACTAGGGAACTGGTGCCCAGAGATGATGGTTGGATCAGAAAGCAGGAGCTCCAAAGGGAAGAGTGAGGAGTGAACCTGGTGGGCAGCCACATGTGGAACCAGGAGGCAGCGGGGAAGCCAGAGGCTGTACGAGGCTTCCCTCTGAGGAAGGAGAGGATGCTGTGGCCATGAGGATGTGTCAACAGTGGCATATGCCTCAGAGAGGTGAGGAGAAGGGAGAAGAGGCAATGGAGGGGAGATGGGAAGCCATTAATAAACTCTGGCAAGTTGTGTCCTTAGAGCAAAAAGGGCAAGTAAGCCAGACTGCAGGATACAATGAAAGACAGATCAAAGTTGTTAAGTAAAAAACATCCATTTGTTAAAATGCTGTTTTCAAGAACACAGAGCTACAGCTGCAGGTGAGAGGGCTCTTGATGTCTGACAGTGCTTTCCTTGCCTAAAGAGGGAGCACATGAGAAGCAGTGCTGTGCACAGGGGCAAGCTGGAGACCACCTGCCTCAGGGGTGAAGGGTGATCTGACAAAATTGAAATGAGTGGAGGCTCCAGCCTGCCCAGGAGGAGGGCGTTCTTGTAGACTACACATGCCAGTGTGCTAGTAACAACAGGTGAGAGCTGTCTGGATCTTTGTGAGTTACTAACTCTGAGCTGAATTAATTGGTGCTGTATCAGAACCCAGCAAGAAAGACCCAGCAACACTGGGGAAGGCCTGTTGAAGGGTGGGTAGCTGCCTTCCACCAGGACAAAGCCTGCTGACTTTGGATCAGTCCCCTCCACCCCTGAACTGTTCTCTGTCTCTTTTCTTTCCCTATTTAAAAGGCACACATTCCTTACCTCTACAGGTAGATTTCCTGGTGGCTTCTTTCCACAGAAGCAGGATTTCTAGGCTATGGGGTCTATGCAGCCTTTATATGTGAGCTTCACAAAAAGCCCATTTTCTTTTCTTTGAGGCAATAGGTACTATGGAGCTATCCGTTGTTCTGCAAATGAGGAAATGGATTCATGTTGGCTCATGCTGACCAGGATTGTTGAACTTGGCCTTCATCATCCTGTTAAAACTGCATTGGCTCACTGGTATCATTACAGTCCCTGCTGATTTCAGACCCTGTGATCTTGCTAGGGCCTCAACTACCACACCCACCTCAGTAGGACTCCTGGGACCCCTTGTTATCTACCTACAGGACCATGTGACATCTAACTGTGCCCTATTTGGGTAGAGAAGTGTTCACAGCGGGACAGCATCTCAGAATCACAGGCTGCCAGCACTGAGCTAGATCCTGACCCCCACCTCACACCCACCTGTCATTTATGACCATTAGTCCCTCACTCATGACAACCCAGCCATGGTGTTCTTTCACTGGCCAGGTCCTTTGTACTTGCTTTTCTCTAAGCCTACAATGTCCTTGCCCTAGAGCTTTAAATGGCTGGTTCCTTCTGCTCATCTGAACGGCAGCTCAAATGTCACCTCTCCAGACAGGCCTTTGTGGAGCACCCCTCTAATGGGGGCCCTCCCACCGCCATTCACATCACCCAGGCTTGTTTTCCTCTCCTCACCATAGGTATTTCTTCCTCATTTGATTTTTTAGTTAGTGTATATATTGTCATAGTACTCCACTAAGCTCTGTGAGAGCAGGGCCCCTGTGTGTCTCATTCACTAATGTAGCCCCAGAGCTTGGAACACTCCATATTTACTGAATAAATGAAGGTAAAGGACCTTCAAGTGCCACCAGTCCAGTGCCCTCCACTCAGGGATGAGAAGGTAAGTGGCCTGCCCAGTGTCACACAGCCAATCTGGGAACAGCAGGTGCAATGGTTTGGAGGAAAAATCAACTATTAATGACCAATCTAAAAGGTAAACATTAAGATTCAGGAAAAAATATCCTCCAAACGTAAACTGTGTGAAAATTCACCGTTGACTCCCTAGACCAACAGCTCTGATGGAATAGTAGAGCAAACATTCTCAGTGAGTGGACAGTTCCTCAAGGATTTGGATTCAGAGACTACTAAATGCCTTCCTAGGATTTATTGGCATAAAAGCCAGCCAGGGAAAAACCCATTTAGTGCCTCTTCTAATAAACGGTTTTCTTTTAACATGCTTGAGAGTAAAAAGCACACCCTCAAACATGTATTTGTTAACCTGTTGGAACGCACTGCTTCAAAAAGCATGTCTCTTTACACAAGTGAGAAACAGTAGCTGCGCTTCATTACTTGCCAGCGAGAAGAAAACTGAACAAAATCTACCAAACAACTATTTCAGAAGCTGGACAACAGGCAGCGCAGGACCGCGTTCCCGACATCCCAG